ATCACACCAGACTCATCCCAAAATTCTGTTTTTCCTTCACCTTTCACTTCTGAGCTTCCCAATCCCAACCAAATCCCAAATTCCATCCAAATTCCAACTACTCTTGAACCAAATTCCATCCGAATTCCCAGCTCGTCTCCAATTTCCCTGGGAATTTCTGGGAATTCCCAGCTCTTCTCCAATTTTCCTCCAAGGATTGAGAAAATTCCCATGGAAAAATGGAAGAATTGGAGGAATTCCCAAAAAAGGAAAAAGGAAAGGATTGGAAAAGGACAAAAGAAACAATTGAAGAAATTCCCAAGGAAAAAAGGAAGGATCGAAGGAATTCCCAAAAAAAGAAAAGGAAAGGATGGAAAAAGGAAAAAAGGAAAATGAAAAGGGAAGAATTGAAGGAATGTCCATGGAAAAATTGAAGGAGTTTCCATGGGAAAAGGAAGGATTGAAGGAATTTCCATGGAAAACCTGAAGGAATTCCCATGGATAAAGGAGGGATTGAAGGAATTCCCATGGAAAAAAAGGAAGGATTGAAGGAATTCCCCAAAAAGGAAAAGGAAAGGATGGAAAAAGGAAAAAAGAAAAAGGAAAAGGGAAGGATTGAAGGAATTCCCATGGAAAAAGGCAGGAATTCCCATGGAAAAGGCAGGAATTCCCATGGAAAGGCAGGAATTCCCATGGAAAAGGCAGGAATTCCCTGGGAAAAGGCAGGAATTCCCACGGAAAGGCAGGAATTCCCATGGAAAAGGCAGGAATTCCCATGGAAAGGCAGGAATTCCCATGGAAAGGCAGGAATTCCCATGGAAAAGGCAGGAATTCCCTGGAAAAGGCAGGAANGGAAAAGGCAGGAATTCCCTGGAAAAGGCAGGAATTCCCATGGAAAGGCAGGAATTCCCATGGAAAGGCAGGAATTCCCACTGAAAGGCAGGAATTCCCATGGAAAAGGCAGGAATTCCCATGGAAAGGCAGGAATTCCCTGGAAAAGGCAGGAATTCCCATGGAAAGGCAGGAATTCCCATGGAAAAAGGCAGGAATTCCCATGGAAAGGCAGGAATTCCCATGGAAAAGGCAGGAATTCCCTGGAAAAGGCAGGAATTCCCTGGAAAAGGCAGGAATTCCCATGGAAAAAGGCAGGAATTCCCATGGAAAAGGCAGGAATTCCCATGGAAAAGGCAGGAATTCCCATGGAAAGGCAGGAATTCCCATGGAAAAGGCAGGAATTCCCTGGAAAAAGGCAGGAATTCCCACGGGAAAAGGCAGGAATTCCCATGGAAAGGCAGGAATTCCCATGGAAAAGGCAGGAATTCCATGGAAAAGGCAGGAATTCCCATGGAAAAAGGCAGGAATTCCCACGGAAAAGGCAGGAATTCCCATGGAAAGGCAGGAATTCCCATGGAAAGGCAGGAATTCCCATGGAAAAGGCAGGAATTCCCTGGAAAAGGCAGGAATTCCCATGGAAAGGCCGCTGGGGTTACCTCCCGTGGCAGAATCCCGGGAATGCCGCAGGGCTGCGCTGGCCTCGCTCTCTGCCGGGAATTTCTCCCAAAATTCTCCCATTTTTCCCTCTCGTCTCCCACAGGCGGCGCCGCGAGGTCCGGCAGGACGGATCTGATCCCAGGAAAGAGAAAAAAACGGGAAAAGTCACCTGGAAATCCCCGGAAAAAACACCCGGAAATGCCGGGGAAAGCCACCAGGAAATTCCAGGATAAACCACCTGGAATTTTCTGCATAAACCACCTGGAAATTCCTGGAAAAAACACCTGGAAATTCCTAGGAGAACCACCTGGAATTTCCTGGAAAAATCACCTGGAATTTCCTGGAAAAGCCACCTGGAAATTCCTAGAAAAAACACCTGGAAATTCCTGGAAAAGCCACCTGGAAATTCCTGGAAAAGCCACCTGGAAATTCCTGGAAAAGCCACCTGGAAATTCCTGGAAAAATCACCTGGAATTTCCTGGAAAAGCCACCTGGAAATTCCTGGAAAAAACACCTGGAAATTCCTGGAAAAGCCACCTGGAATTTCCTGGAAAAGCCACCTGGAAATTCCTGGAAAAATCACCTGGAATTTCCTGGAAAAATCACCTGGAATTTCCTGGAAAAATCACCTGGAAATTCCTGGAAAAGCCACCTGGAAATTCCTGGAAAAGCCAATTCCCACCTGGAATTCCCAACGATGGGAAGAAATCCTGCCCTGCTCTGCTTTTTTTTTTGGGAATTTTGGGAATAACGGAGCCCCCAGCCAGGCTTGGACAGGGATCCACACTCAGAAATTTGGGAATTCCATTCCCAGTGGGATCCAAACTGAGAAATTTGGGAACTCCAGCCCAGTTCCCACTGGGATCCAAGCTCAGAAATTTGGGAATATTTTGGATTTTTCCCCAAATTTCCCTGGATTTTGTCCAAAATTTCCCTGGAGTCTTCCCCAAATTCTCTTGGATTGTTCCCCAGATTCTCTCCCCAAATTTTTCCATATTTTCCCCAAATTCTACTGGATTTTCCCCAGATTATTTTGGATTTTCCAAAAACGTCTCTGGATTCTCCCCCAAAATGTTTCTGGATTTTCCCCAAAATGTCTCTGGATTTCTCCCCAAATTTTTCTGGAGTCTTTCCCAAATTATTTGGGATTTCCCCCCAAAATTATTTTGGATTTTCCCCCAAATTCCTCTGGAGTTCCCCCAAATTTCTCAGGATTTTCTCCAAATTCTTTTGGATTTCCCCCAAAAATTCCTCTGGATTTTCACACAAGTTTTCCCATATTTTCCTCAAATTCTCCTGGATTTTCCCCACATTATTTCAGATTCCCCCCAAATTTCTCCATATTCTCCCCAAATTTTTCTGGATTTCCCCCCAAATTTTCTCTGAATTTATCCCCAAATTCTTTTGGATCTCCCCCCAAATTATTTGGGACTTTCCCCAAAATTTCTCTGGATTTCCCCCATATTCCTCTGATTTTTTCCCAAATTTCCCCCAAATTTCTCCATATTCTCCCCAAATTCTTTTGGATCGTTCCCCAAATTATTTTCGATTTTCCCCCAATTAATTTTGGATTTCTTCCCCAAATTTCCCTGAATTTCCCACCAAATCATTTTGGATTTTCCCCAAAATTCCTCTGGATTTCTCCCCCAAATTCTTTTGGATTTTCCCCAAAAATTCCTCGGGATTTTCCCCAGAATTTTTCCACATTTTTCCCAAATTTCCCTGTATTCTCCCCAAATTCTTTTGGATTTTCCCAAAAAATTTCTCTGTTTTCTTTCCAAATTCTTTTCCATTTCCCCCGAAATTCCCCCGGCTTTTCCCGTTCCATTCCCGGTACCCGCTTCCCCCCCCCCCGGGGCTCTCCCGGGGCCGTTTCCCCGCCCCCCCCCCCCGCGGCCTCTCCCGGTGCTACCGGGAGCCCCGAGCAGCGCCCCGGGGGCCGCTCCGCCGCCGCTCCCACAGCGCACGTACCGCGGGGGGCGGGCCCGGCCCGCCCGGGGCCTCTCGGGGCCTCCCGGTGCCGCCCGGTGCCGCCCGGGGCTCAGCGGCGGCCGCGGCCTCCTCCCGGTGCCGCCGCCGCCGCGCCGGAAGTGCCGCCCTGGCCGGAAGTGCCGCCCTGGCCGGAAGTGCCGCCCTGGCCGGAAGTGCCGCTCTGGCCGGAAGTGCCGCCCTGGCCGGAAGTGCCGCCCTGGCCGGAAGTGCCGCCCTGGCGGGAACTCGGTGGTAAAGGCGGAGAATGAGGGAATGAGGGGGCGTGGTTTAGCCTCCTAGTCCCGCCTTTTCTCCATCGCTATTGGTTGGGCATGCTGCTCGTCAACCGCCTCCCCGCGCGCTGATTGGCTGCGGTGGAGGACTTCCGGGATCGCCCGCGGCGGCGGCGGCGGCGCCGGTCCCGGTGAGCGCGCGGCGGGCGGGGCGGGCGCCCCCTGGCGGCGGGACCGGAGGAAGGGAGCGCGTCCCGGTCCCGGTCCCGTTCCCGGTCCTGCTCCCGGCTCTGCTCCCGGTCCTGCTCCCGGCTCTGGTTCTGCTCCCGGTCCTGGTCCCGGTCCCGGTGGCCCCGGAGTGTCTCTCGTGGGTAGTCCCGATCCCGCGGTCCTGTCCCCGGTGTCCCGGCCGCCCTCGCGTGGCGGGACGGGAGGGAGCGCGGTCCCGGTTCCACTCCCGGTCCTGGTCCTGGTTCTGCTCCCGGTCCCGTTCCCGGTTCTGCTCCTGCTCCCGGTCCTGTTCCTGCTCCCGGTCCCGCTCCTGGTCCCGGTGTCCCCGGAGTGTCGCTCTTGGGTAGTCCCGTTCTTGTCCCCGGTGTCCCGGCCGCCCCCGCGTCCCCGCGGTCCGGTGGTCCCGATGCCCATCCGGGATGTTCCCGGTGTCCCTCCGGGATGTTCCCGGTCCCGGTGTCCCTCCGGGATGTTCCCGGTCCCGGTGCCCATCCGGGATGTTCCCGATGCCCATCCGGGATGTTCCCGGTGTCCCTCCGGGATGTTCCCGGTCCCGGTGCCCATCCGGGATGTTCCCGGTCCCGGTGTCCCTCCGGGATGTCCCCAAGCTCCACCCGCGATGTCCCGCCCGGCTCCCGCCGCTCCATCCCCGGGTCCCGGTGTCCCCAAGGTGCCACTCAGTGTCCCCAGGGTGATACTCAGTGTCCCCAAGGTGCCATTCCCTGTCCCCAGGGTGCCATTCCACGTCCCCAGGTGCCACCCCGTGTCCCCATGGGTCCCATCCATATCCCCGCTGTCCCCTCAGGTGCCACCCCGTGTCCCCAGGGTGCCACCCCGTGTCCCCAGGGTGCCATTTGGTGTCCCCAGGCTGCCACCCCGCATCCCCAAGGTGCCATTCTGTGTCCCCCAGGTGCCACTCGGTGTCCCCAAGGTGCCATTCCCTGTCCCTGCTGTCCCCAGGGTGCCACCCCGTGTCCCCAAGGTGCCACTCAGTGTCCCCAAGGTGACATGTGGTGTCCCCAGGGTGCCATTTGGTGTCCCCAAGGTGCCACCCCTGTCCCCAAGGTGCCATTTGGTGTCCCTGCTGTCCCCAGGGTGCCATTTGGTGTCCCCAAGGTGCCATTCCCTGTCCCCAAGGTGCCACCCCGTGTCCCCAGGGTGCCATTTGGTGTCCCTGCTGTCCCCAGGGTGCCACCCCGTGTCCCCAGGGTGCCATTTGGTGTCCCTGCTGTCCCCAGGGTGCCACCCCGTGTCCCCAGGGTGCCACCCCTGTCCCCGCCGGCCGCGCCGCCGCCATGAGCGCCGAGACGTTGGTCAAGGACGTCAAACCCGGCCTCAAGAACCTCAACCTCATCTTCATCGTGCTGGAGACCGGTCGGTGCCACCCCCGTGTGCCCCCCGTGCCCCGGGTCACCCCGATGTCCCCGGGTCACCCCGATGTCCCCAGGGTCACCCCGATGTCCCCGGGTGACCCCGATGTCCCTGGGTGCCCCCGATGTCCCTGGGTGCCCCCGATGTCCCCAGGGTCACCCCGATGTCTCCGGGTCACCCCAATGTCCCCAGGGTGCCCCCGATGTCCCCAGGGTCACCCCGATGTCCCCAGGGTGCCCCCGATGTCCCCAGGGTCACCCTGATGTCCCCAGGGTCACCCCGATGTCCCTGGGTGCCCCCGATGTCCCCGGGTCACCCCGATGTCCCCAGGGTCACCCTGATGTCCCCGGGTGACCCCGATGTCCCCAGGGTGCCCCCAATATCCCCAGGGTCACCCCGATGTCCCAGGGTCACCCCGATGTCCCCGGGTCACCCCAATGTCCCCAGGGTGCCCCCGATGTCCCTGGGATCACCCCGATGTCCCCAGGGTGCCCCCGATGTCCCTGGGTCACCCCGATGTCCCCGGGTCACCCCGATGTCCCTGGGGTCACCCCGATGTCCCCAGGGTGCCCCCGATGTCCCTGGGTCACCCCGATGTCCCCGGGTCACCCCAATATCCCCAGGGTCACCCCGATGTCCCCAGGGTCACCCCGATGTCCCTGGGTCACCCCGATATCCCCAGGGTCACCCCAATGTCCCCTCGCTGTCCCCCCCAGGCCGGGTGACCAAGACCAAGGACGGCCACGAGGTTCGGACGTGCAAAGTGGCCGACAAGACCGGCAGCATC